GATGTGCGAAGTAGCGCCGGTGTCAACCAACAGACCTCTCTCCTTATGGTTGTGTGCTGGCTGCTGACCTCCGATGTCCGCGTCCTCCACCCTGAAAGCATAATCCTCTTCCTTTGCTGCGTATCCTCTTCCGCTTTCTTCTGCGACCTTCTTTCCGCCATCTTGTTTAGCTCTGCGTCTGCACGTGGCCTCACAGTGTGTGCTGCTCTGGCAGTGACCACACCACGTCTTTTGCCTGCAAGCTTTTGCTCGGTGGCCCTTTATTCCACATTTGAAACAAACGATGTCCACATCACACTTGCCTCGTATAATTGGCCTGGTGTGCCTCTGCTCTGCCCCAGCATCAGTTTTCATGACATTGTCGCTGGATTCAGCTACAGCAAACTTTTCAGTGTCTTCAAAACTTCGTAGTTTTGTTTTAAACTCTGTAAACGTGATATCATCTCTGTCGTGTGTCACATGTATTGTAAATGGTTTAAAATTTTCCGGCAGTCCCTTTAAAACCATAGCAATCAATAGGCCATCACTCAAAGTCTCACCCGCGTTGCGTAGAGCTGTAATGGCTGCCTCCGCTCTGATGATGTAGTCTGTGACCGTCTCTTCTCTCCTTTTCTGGAGCGATGTTAGCGTGGTGTACAGGGTGATAATTCGGGGCTTTCCTCTCCCCGCGTAGTAGTCCCTCAGGATCTTGAATGCTCTCCTCCCGTTATCCGGGGCATCTCTCATAATCAATGAAGGCTTTTGTCGTCCAAAAGTTGGATCAACTCAGCGTAGGCGTCTGCATTTCTCTTACTGTCTGTGGCTACTTCAGCCTCTCCGTTCGGTTCCCTCAGAACGGTGTTTTTCAATCCCAGTAAGTGCAGATGTCCTAACACTTTTGTTTCCCAAAGCTCGTATTTGGTCTTGTCTCCGTCGAACATAAGTCGAGGCAGCCTGCTTGCTCCTCGCTGATCCATGTTGCTACTTTAGCCGTTAGCCCTCCGTCTCAACGAGGCTTTCTGGATCCTTCAGACAAGAAAAACGGCTCCTCCTCGAGTTGCTCCTGGGCCGATAACCTGTTGAGCGTTGCAGCATCAATCGCGTATGAACTCGAGGAAAAGAAAGATGGGATCAAGTGTTTTCTTCTTGTGTCTTTTATTAAAACTGCGACACACACGTTAACATCCACACCGGAGACTCCATTCTCCTTAAGCAACTGTTACGTAATGACGCAGTGTGCGTGCCCCCCTAGTGGTGAACAACTAAAAGCACAACCTGCTTAATAACACCAGATTACACAGTTTAGCACATGAGTCCACAATATTGAACATCTCAACATCCACAAAGTGATTCATCATCTATTCTTGAGGAAGTTGCTGACTCTATAGAGGCACATTCAGAGCAAATAGAGTTGAAGCTATCCACCATCTCATCAAAGGGTGCAATCGTATCTTGTAAAAGACGGAATGAGCTGCAAGTAAGAGGGTTGCATTCCTCAAAAAGAATCACAGTACCAACTGTCTACACACGTGACTTCATTCCTGCTAATCAGGCACACATCCCTACTTCTGAGACTGCCAAAGCATGGTCTCATTTGGATCATCTGTCAGAACAGATTTCTAATGGACTGAGAAATTGGCTTGCTCATTGGATACATCTGTCCACAAGCTCTCATGCCTAGAGAAGTTGTATGTGGTGAAGAAGCTCAACCTTTTCCTCAAAAAACTGATTTTGGTTGGAGCATTGTGAGTTATGGAAGTCCAAATGAACTCTACAGTGATGCAACTGGAGTGAGTCATCACATTATTGTAAAGAAAGTGATAGCTGAACTTAAGTTTTCAACCAAGCTGAAGAGTGAAGTCCACTGTATTTGTAGGACCCACATCAAGGAAATTATTTCCCCAGAGGATGCAGTGAATATCTTGGAATCTGATTTCAGTGAAAGGATGGAACATGAAGCCATTTCTCAGGAAGATTTCCAGTTTCTAGCTTAGCTGAAAAATGCAATTAAATACAGACCAGATGGCCATTTGGAGATGCCATTACCTTTCACACAAGAGAGACCTCATCTGCCTAATAACAGATTATGTGCTGTTCAATGTTTAGCATGTTTGCAGAAGAAACTCAAACGAGACAAACAATACTGTACAGATTATGTGAACTTTATGAAAGACATCATTAGCTGTGGTGAAGTAGAGAAGGTTCCAGAAGATGAGATCAAAACTGAATCTGCCTGGTACATTCCGCACCATGGAGTGTACCATCCAAGAAAACCTGGGAAGATCCAAGTGGTTTTCGTTTACTCGGCTAAATTTCAAGGCACCTGACTAAACGACCACCTTCTTGCTGGACCTGAGCTCATGAACACATTGTTAGGAGTTCTCTGCAGGTTCCACAAAGGCCCAGTTGCTATTATGTGTGACATGGAAAGAAGGTTCCACTAGTTCTTCGTCAGACTAGAGGGCAAAGATTACCTGAGATTCCTATGGTGGGAGGAAGGAGACTTGGAGTCTGACCCATCAACCTACAGGATGAAGGTCCATTTATTTGGTGCTGCTTCCTCATCAGGATGTGAAAATTTTGGATTTAAACATCTTGCAAATGAAGGTCAGGAGAAGTTCAGTTCAAATACCGTAAAGTTCATTCAAAGAAACTTTTACGTCGATGATGGACTGGTGAGTGTGACATCAGTTTAGGATGCCATTCGGCTCATCAAGGATGCAAGACAGCTTTGCAGTGCGGGTAGGCTGACTGCACAAATTTGTTTCCAACAACGAGCAGGTGTTAAACTCAATACCAAATGAAGAGTGTGCAGAGTGTGTAAAGAACTTGAAAATCACCTTGGGAGAACCACTGATGGAAGGAGCATTGGGTGTTCAATGGAATGTGTCTTCTGATGAGTTCCAATTCAGTGTCACAGTTAAGGAGCATCCACTAACAAGAAGAGGTGTGTTATCTACCATAGCTTCTGTCTACGACCCCTTAGAGTTCGCAGCACCCTTTATCTTGAAGGGAAAACAGATCCTACAACGGCTTTGTCGTGACAACCTGGATTGGGACGAACCTTTGACCGAAGAACTGAAGACCCATTGGAAATCATGGTTACAAGATCTTCAGAACTTATCAAAGTTGAAGGTCAAAAGATGCTTTGTCCCAACAGACTTTGAAAATGTTAAGAGAATCAGCTTCAAAATTCTGCTCATCACATTCAAAGCTCTCCATAACCTGGCTCCATCCTACATGTACGATCTCATTCGCATCACCACTCCTGTCCGCACTCTTTGTTCCTCTACTGCTCCTCAACTCTAGGCTCCCCCCGCTCGCCTTGTCACCATGGGGAGTAGAGCATTCAGCCGCTCTGCTCCCCACCTCTGGAATTTTCTTCCCCCTGATCTTCGCACCACTCACTCTCTCCCACTTTTTAAATCAAAACTCAAAACCCAACCTCTTCACACAAGCTTTTACCACATAGTTTTACATTTTAGCATCTTAATGTTTTTTACATATTTCTGTACTGTGTTTATCTTGTTTAATTATTTTTCCCCATTGTTGTAAAGTGTCCTTGGGTGTACAGAAAGGCACTGTGTTGCTGCCCCTTGGCATCCAAGAGAAATAAGGAGGAGAGCTTCGACGGGTGCAACTTTTTGTTTGTGTCAGGCTGTAGATGCATACATCTCATTCCCAGAATTGTACCGAGCACCTGGTGCCAGTCACTGTGCAAACACAGTGAAAACTGAAAATACATCATTTACAAATTAAAGACAATCACTGACAAACATCAGGAGCATCAAACAGAAACAAAGAACAAATACCTTGCTCCTCTTGCCATGGGGTGCAATCAAAGTAATGTCACGCAGAGGCTTGGCACGGCAAGACCATAGACTAAATGTACAAGCATTTTTTAGGGCGACACGTTCTTATTTAATCCATTTTAGTCAAAATACCCTCACTTACGTGGAAGTTTGGTCTGCTGCAACACGCCAAGCCAGGTGAAATGCCAACGCCATGTCCACATCCGGGTTAACACCCACTTATATGCAATTGAATGAGTGATGTTGACAATCCACCTGCTCGCAGCCATTTCCATACTGTTAAATAAAATGTATTATTATTAATATTATTATCGGGTTTTTCTTTCTGAGACTCTGGTGGTTAGTCTAAAGTTGAAGTGACTGCGGACGGCTGTTTCTTCTTCTCTGATGCTATTGATTAGAGAACCTCTCACAACAGTGGTGTTGTGTTGCAAAATGTGTGAGTGCATAATTAGCTGAGAACCCAAGTTAATGTGGAAGTGTGGTGGACAAATGCAAGAGAACCACTTCATTATTTATCACTTTTTGAAATCTCTATAAAATATTGATAGCTGTACTATAATAAAACATTGTTAAGAGGCATGTTTTTTTATCTAGCTTGTTAGGGTGATTTGCCAATACAGCTTTAAAGGTACAATAAGTAAGAATTTTACAGGGAAATATTCAGAAAACAGTGAAACATCTCAATCATGTTGGAAAGAAGGTTACATCAAAACAGATTTATTTCTCAGTCAGCTTGGTTTGCCCATTTTTCTCCTTTCAAAGGGCCAAAGAGGGACGTAGTCTTTGTTTACTCTATGTGAGTCCGTGGGGTTAACGAGTCTACTTTTCCAACTGTCTTAATCAAATTTAAAATCTGAGCTAAAGTGGAGGATTTTGTTTTAAATTAGGCAAAGTAAATGAGAAACTTAACTCACTGGTTGTTGTCCAATTGAGCCCATCCCTAGCTCTTTGTGAAAGCAGTTCTTTCCTCCAGCCCAGCAAAGAGTTGGTGTCATATTACAGCACAGCTAACATAAATATCATATTCAGTAGGTCAGCAATAAGCCAAATCATGAGTTGTCTCAAAGTACTTCCCAAAGTAAGCATTCCCATTGAGTTCAGTTCACTATGCCAATTAGGTAAAAGTTTCCTATATAAGGAACACACAACACAACAAATGCTACCTGATTGAACCTTTAAATTTCAGATCTGCTTGTTGTTTTCCAGTTATCCGACTCTGAAAGTCTTGTCAGAGAGACGGCCAGATGCCCCCATTTACGTTGGCGGATTATCCAGACCAGTCTTCTGGTTAGTATGGAACAGTTTCTTGTCATACATGTACACCAAGTCATGCAACCGGGGAGAAAATCTTTAATACTTACGTTTATTTACAAGTGGCCGGGCAGAGGGAAGTCTGGGCCTCTCAACTTAGGCTACTGCCCCCACGATCTGACTCTGGATAAGCTGATGAATGGATGGATGGATGGATAGAAGGACTTACTTTATTTATGCATTCATTTCCGGAATCCTTTTTGGTTTTGGACTAACTATTCCAGTAGGGTTAGTAGGGATGCACCGATGGATCGGCATTTGATCCCAATCGGCCGATAGCGCCCCTATCGGTTTTGATCAGAGTTTTCAAAATAGATCAAAGCAGACCGATCAGGTAGGGTTGTCACGGTAACCGGTGTAGCGGTAAACCCCAGTAAAAAAAGTTGACAATAATAATAACCGTCTTGTTTAAAAAAAAATATTATCTTGGTGGGTTTACCGTGGCTGCGGTGTAGGCGCGGTGAACCTTACCAGCCACCGTATCATCTGCTGAAGTTGCCGGCGGCACATGCGTGCTTTGTTTACAACCAAAACTTTCTTGAAGCTAAAGCTGAAATAATGGCCAAAGGAGGAGACGGCAGTGCTCAGGAGGACATTTATTATCCTTCAAAGAAGACAAAGTGGGAAGTACGGGCATTTTTTGGATATTTGAAGAATGCCGAGGGACAGTTGATAGAAGACGGCTATCCTGTTTGCAGCACGTGCAGAAAACGTGTCTGTGAAAGGCAGCAACGCTTCAAATCTCATGACACATCTGCGTGATCATCACCCCCAACTCTACAGTCAACACAAGGCAAGCTAACGTTAGCGTTTTAGCTAAAATGTGTGATCCGAGGATTTGGGTTGAGGGAGAATGCAACAAGTCGCTATATAAAGCAGCCGCAGCGCCGCTACCTGCATATAAACCGGGTCGCGGACACCCCCATGTTGAAATGACGCTATGCATTACGGGGCTCCCAGGGGCAGATAAGAGTTGGTCTCTCTCCGAGAATAATTATGAATTTAACAATGATTACTGCCTGATGACATTTTCCCAAATCTGCAAAGCTCACTGGAAGGACACAAACCGAGGACAATATTTTCCTGATATAGGGTTTATTACTCAAGTAAGGGTAAAAAAGTATCTGATTAGAAGGCTACTTGAGTACTGAGTATCATCTGATCTAATATTTTTAAAATGATGACATCAAACAGACATAAAATAAGAAGTTATGGGCAAATATTGGTATTTTAAAGACTAAAGGGGAAATATGTAAACAAATAAACAGCATAATAACTGAATAACACATTTTAGGCTAAATTTAGACACAAACTGAGGACAATATTTCCTGACATACAGGGTTTATTTAATTGTGTGAAAATGTAGCACGTTTAAAAAAAATACTGCGATAATACCGAAAACCGTGGTAATTTTGGTCACATTAACCGTGAGGTTAAATTTTCACACCGTGACAACCCTAATACAGACCATTTTAGATTAGGTTACATTTCCTTTATTCCCAGATCATGTAGTTTGTAGCACTCATTATAATGTTGTAGAAAATTTCTGGCCAATCCACGTGATCGGTATCGGTGATCGGTATCGGTGATCGGCAGCAAAAAACCTGATCGGTGCATCCCTAAGGGTTAGTACTGTACAGCCTTCAGCACAGTCCTTCATAACGATGAAACTCAGCAGTGAAAGATTTCAGCTGTTTTGTCCAGCTCTTTCTGTGAAGATTGGTTTCATTACATTTTTCATTTCAAAATTCTTCATGCAATCGTTCCGAGGGAGAGGTCAGGGTTGGAGGATGTTACAGCAGTCCCTCTGCTCTTCCTCAGTCACATCTTTGTGATTTGTCTAGGATGTGAATTTGTATTGTTTTTTTTAAATGCACAGACCCCTTGCAACAGATGTAATCCTAAAGGGGAATTACAAAATCACTGCATTCGAGAAAAGGACCATGCCTTTTCATTTCCAGCTATACACAAAGCACAGTGTTCCACAATTATGAAGTGTCACACACAGTACTTCCACCCTCCTTCTCAACTTCCACCTTTGTTACCATGTCTTCCAGTAAATCTTGTGTGAGGGGACTCAGAGAGAACCAGGGCTTTGGACTTTTTATTCCCATCTTTTAAGCCTGAATGCTTCTTTTCATTTTTGGTTCAGAGCATCCTGCATCAGTTTCTTCCATGAAAGATCTAGAATTTGTATGCCTACAGTCCTTGTTTCTGCTGTGTGGAGACTAACATTTAATGCCTCAAAGTCCATAGTCTGCACCACCTTTGAACACTTCTCTAAAATATACTTCAAGACAGCAGTCTTCTTAAAGTTATCCCTTTCCGATAAGGTGATCCAGCTTTATCATCAGGTCGTGACGCAGTCCCATTTCTGTCAGGGTCAACACTGGAACAAGGGAGGAACTATTTTACATAGCCTCTACTGATACCAGAGTGTCAGCTACGTCATCTCTGTCAGGACCAGAAGGAAGTGGTGGGTGAAGGATGTAAGTAACCATGCAGAACCAATACTAAGACAGCACCTTGAAAGGGGACTGTAGCAATAAGGCAAGCTGGACACAGTAGTCACTTAACACTTATGACTTAAGGCTCAGGGGAGATTGAAACATCAGCTAATCCAGGGAGACGTTCGAGCAGAGAGGGAAGAGAAATGCCTAAACAAGAGTTTTCGTTTGGCCACAGTGAGCTTGAACTAATTGGGAGCATGCTTCTTTCTGTCTTTGTGCAACAGGTATCTGGAGCAAAGCCAGGTCAAGCTTACCAACATCAACGTCACTCCCTTTGGTGTTTGGCTAAATGTAAATGTCATGTATGCTTTAATCATTAGGGACAACTGAAATCCTATGTTTGTTTTATACTCGAGAAAAGGAAAGAATACATTTGAAAAAGTTACTATTTGTACAAAACAAGAATTTAATTTCCTGTTAACAGATTGATGAACATTTGAGATTTATGATTCTGATGGATGGTGTACATCCTGAAATGGACACATGCATCATTGTTGACTATAAAGGTACAGAACACATTTTCATGTTTTAAATCAAATCTGAAACACAGCATTAAACGATAATATGATTATTAAAATAGCTTTTGACTGCAGGTCATCTCATCCTGAACACCGTGGACTGCACCAGGCCAAATGGAGGCCGACTACCACAAAATGTGGACTTGATGATGAGTGATTTTGCTGGGGGGGCATCTGGTTTCCCCATGACCTTTTATGGGGGGAAATATACTGGTGAGAACAAATCTATTAAAGTATTAAAGGATTAGATGGGGGGGTCAGAACACGGCAGAATTTAGGGTCTTATATACTGATATTTGGACGTCTCACCTCTGATTGGATGACAGCAGCACGACTCTACTGCAGACTCTGTTTGCTCTGCTACGTTGATGTTTTTTCCACATATAACACAGGGCTGAAGGAGTTCTGCCATGTGGCAGAGTTGCTAATGCTAATGGTTAGCTTCTACTAGTCTACTAGTCTGTTTCGTGGATACTAAACCAACAACAGCCTTCTCTGTCAAACAATTTTTGTGACAAAGTGGAGCCTAACAATTGAGCAGCAGGGGTATAGCTCTAGCTTCACTATTCACCCACTCTTCAACCAACACAAGCATGACATGTACTCACAACTGTGGCAAACTCACAATGGAGACATCAACCCATCTAGAAATGATGAGTTGGTTTGGCTCGCCATCACACACACACACGTCCACACCCCAGCCCTTTTCATTCATGCCTGACACCCACACAAACACACACTTCCCTGTAATGAGCGTAATCACACCAAAACAACCGACCACTGTGGTGATGCATTCACTAACCCTCAGAGATGCGACCCTCACTAATCACCTGGTTACAAAAGTTAAGTGACAGTGTGACGTAGATCTGTCTGGCTTTTTAAATCCTAAAGTCATACAGTCTATTTTCTATCAAAATCTAATGCAGGAGAGAGGTGTAGGAAACTATTTTCATGTTCATCCTGCATGAAAATCTCAAAGGTACCTGTTATAATGAGAAATTATCATTACTTAATGGTATTTCAGTGTTCCACACCTTTAAGAAAGGAGAGCTTATAAAACAAACCTAAAATCTCACTTTGAGACTCATGGGATTTCTTTTGGACTCTCCTAGTGGAGCAAACAAGAGATTCACAGACATTTTGTATAGATGGACTGAAACACAGATCATACCAAGTAAGTCTTCAGTTCTATTTGAAGTGTAGGGCACTGGCATTTAAATCTGCCAAACAGTGAAGCAAAAACACAAAAGCATCAAGAATACTTCAGTCTGTCCTTGTACTGTTGACATAATCCGAATGATCTTTCATTGTTTTTTCTTCTCAGATTCCTGGAAGACAGATTTCATCAAAACTGAAAGGAGAAAATTACTAAATTACAAAGCTGAGTTGGTCAGATCCCTACAGCCAAGAATCTACTGCCCATTTGCTGGTTATTTTGTAGAAGCCCACCCATCAGACAAGTTGAGTTTGTAAAACATCAATGGCACCTCACTTAAAAAGTTATTTAGAAATGTCAAATATGATTGTTTCTCTTTGTCCTTCTAAACCTGTTTGTCACCTGTCTGTGTGTTTAAAGGTACATCAAAGATACTAATGTTAAAAATACAGCAGAGGACCTCAATGCACTCATCAATAAACTTGCACCAGACATCAAGACATGGACGCCCAAACCTGGTGCTGTGCTGGACCTTGGCCTTGCTCTGAAAGATTCCTCTAACAGGTTGATCTGAGCTGTGAAATGTTTCTTTTTTATGTTATCCAAAGTTTAAATGAAAGGGCACAGCCTACATGTGGTGTACATCAGTACAACAGGAAAATGCACCATTTGCTTTTAGCTGGGTTCCTCAGCTGTGAATTGTAGCAGTTTAGCTTTAGTAACCAAACATAAAGTGGTAAAGAAACTAATGTTTGTTTGTATAACACGAAGTTTTGGTTGTGATCTCCAAGTCAGTCACATTAAAGCTGCAATAGCAAAGCTACAGAACAAGTTAGCTTAAGACATGTTTTCATGTCTCTTAACAATGTTCTATATAGGTATAAATACATTGTGGAGATGAATTAATAATAATAATAATAATAATAATAATAATAATAATAATAATAATAATAATAATAATAATAATAATAATAATAATGTCATTCTCTTTCATTCGTCTAAAAACCTCAGCCAATACCACAACTCTACTCAATAGACACTCATGCATGTTGCAACAGAAATCCAGGGGTGTGTCCAGGGATTGGCCTGGGGTAATACATACTACCCTTGAAATCTGATTGGCCACCCCACTGAGTTCCAATTGACTTTACATTGTCCACAAAAGTCTTGAGGTAATAAACCTCGGAACAGTAGGTGCCAGCATGAACCTTTAAGACCTACAAAATATTTCTGTATCATTTTTATTCTTTAGTATGTTTTCATATTGACATAAATAGTATTTAAAATCCAGGTCCCAAGAAGAAGAAGAAGAAGAAGAAGCAAAAGAAGAAGGTCATGACACAATGTGAAGCTCACAAATTCACTAGTATATAAAAAACATAAACATAAACATAAAAAAGGATTTTGTAAGGGATCCTTTCCTCACTCCCTCAAAAAATAGGTGCCATCCACGAAAAACAAAATACATTAGGACCTAGAAAATGGCGACTCTCGTTTACTGTGTGTTTTAGACAAATGCATGAAAATCACTTCATTTTTTCATTCTTCCAGGGACCTGTGATGCAGACGTGACTTAGGCTCCCAATGGCCTGTATTAGGACTCCTGGGACAAATGAAAGCCAAAACAAAATGTGTTATGCTTCTTAGAGATTCAAAGCATGGTTTTAGATTGCTGATAAACTGCATTCTTTGTCCCCTTTAAAGTGTTTTTACGCTAGCTTGTTATGCAGATTTGCCATTGTAGCTTAAAAAGAACCCTGTTAGGGTGATGACAGTTTGGAGTCACATTACTGTTGACTACTCCACATTAATACATGTAGAGAACTTCATAGACATTTAGAAGTAGTTTCACCTTACCTTATGTATTTATTTAACAGTTGGAATATGTACTATTGCAGGCACCTTGTTGTTCTGCCTCAAAAGCAGCCTCTTTCATTCTCACTTGCATCAAACATAAGGTATCTTGAATAGAAGTGTGTACCCCCACAAACTGTACATCAGTTCGAACCGCGCGGTCTGAAGAGGTTTGCTTTCTTAACATTTTGGTGAAATAATTTGCACACAAGGGAGAGGGATTTACAGAGAAATGAACTGAATAAACTGAAGGGTGAGTGATCGATCAACAGGATCTCACATGAAAGCCAGCCTGAAAATATTTGTTTTAGCTGCTTTTTAGAAGAGACTATGGAGTCTACTGACCTCAAGCTTGAGAGGAAAGGGCTCCAGAGTCTAGGGATAACAACATCGTGGTATTCTTATAATTCTCTGATGTTCACCCATGCAAATCTTAAACCATTGAGTAACACATCCTGTTTTCACTTTCAAGACTGATAACAGCTGCATGATCTGTCAAACTGAGAAAAATTCACTTTCAAAAAGTCTCAAAAAGGCTAAAATTCCCCACAGTAACAAGATTTGTTTTCAGTCAGTCAGTGTATTATTATCCCTCTTAAACATGGCAGACACACAGCATTTTATTGAACCATTTGATAAATTTGTTACAATAATCTGAAGGACAAAATTGAGCCAAAAAAAAAGACAAATGTAAATGCATATTCGAAATGAAGCGCTTAGATAAGTCAAAGGAAGCAAATGACAACATGAAAAATGGAAAGTTAAACTGCTAAAGTTTTTAAAAAGTTTAAATTTTAAATTTCCTTCATTGCTTCCTTCATGACCAACTACAGCGAAGCCATCTCTAACCCCCCGACCAATGCAAAAGTCTACAAGGACAGCTGGGAGTTTGACCTGTACGTGGAGGAGATCAACAGCGCCATCAGCTGTGAGATATTTAAACATCAGAGCTGGATCCAGTTTTATTATACCTGGGCAGGCTTTAAAAACTACAACCTTGTAGTGCGGGTAAATATATTCATCAACCAGGGTGGAGCCTCCGCTTCCATCGCAGACGTCCTTACGCGTTTCTTTTCTATCTTTACTCCCCCTGACTTCAGCATGTGGTTCCTTTCATTATGCTGGCAAAAATGTCTTTCCCTAAAACCTGACGTTTTTTTCCTTATCTGATCATTTTTTTATTTGACCACTTTCTCCTGATACATCTTTTCATTTACCGAAGCTGTTGGGTGTGCAGTTGCAGGATTATGTTTAGGTCTCTCTAATTTTATGAGTCAAAGGTTTTCAAGGCCATGAATAAGACACAGTGATGAATCCTAATCACCTGTGCCTTGTTTGATTAAATGTTCTGCAATGAAATTTTAAAAGTTTCAAGCTGAAGTTTATTTTTTATACATATCATCCCTTTGAATTGGTGCCTGTTGTCCAAATGGTCTTGAAAGATTGAATTTCACCCAGTGAGCCCCAAAAATCAGAAATGGAAGCAACTATTTGATCACAGTTTTATTTTTGTGAAGAACACTCACACCATTATAAAAATGCCTTTAAAGAATAAATACCAATTAAATAATCTTACCTAACCAATTACTAACTGACTCTCGGTACAGATACAGGTCATACTGTGAGCACTGCTTGACTTTTTCCTTCTCTTTTGCTGATTGCTTAAACACTGACACTGACTTTAAACATCCAACTTTTAATCTAACAATTTTTCTGATTGTTTATTTTTATTGCTGGCATTTTTATGTAGATCATTGAATCAGATGACCACTTTGAACCACTCAGAGATGGCTATGACTATCTGGTGGACTTTTTGGATCTGTCGTTCCCCACCGCACGGCCTGACAGAGAGCATTTCTACATTGAGGTGAGTCATGGTGGCGCAGCTGATGCTTCACACAACTCATAAATAACAACACAATCTAGTATACAGTCAAGGGAAAAGAAAGTTCAATCTTTAATCTTTAAATCTAGAATGTCACAATTTTTAAAAATCTGGTTCTTATAAGAACTGTACATATTGCACATCTGTGAAGTGATTTTTTGAATGATAAAATGGTCTGTATTTGAAATAGCGCCTTCAAGGGTTCCACAACCCCCCAAGGCCCGTTACAACACAACCAGCCATTCTACCATGCACACACACATTCATACGCTGATGGTGATTAAACTCCATTATAGCCACACTGACAGAAGTGAGGCTGCTGAACACAGGTGCCACCGTTCCCTCTGACCACCAAAACCAGGCAAGGTGTTAAGTGTCTTTCACAAGGACACAAAGCTATATATTTTTTTAAATATCTCCATGGGGTGTGCAGAGGTGTGCAGAATGAAGGTATTTTACTTTAAAAGTTAAGTTTTAATGAAAAATAATCAAAAATTTATTTTGATGGACTGGGTTCAAGTTTACATCTACCAGCCAATAGAGGGCACCATTGCATGTTGCCATGAAGTCCAATTGGCACAGCGAGGATGGCACTGTGGAAAATGGCGGACTCTGTAAGTCAAGCAGCTTACCTTGGCCATCTATATCCAGAGTGAGTTTAGGTGAAGCCTACAACAGATGGACCCAAATAAAAAATCCCACGAATCGGCAGCAAACCTGGTATACTGAAGGCTGCAAACCTTGTTCTTTTGTTGCAATGACAACCTCCACACACTAGATGTCGCTTTGGTGTTCGTGTTCCATATTCAACCTTTAAGCAACATTATAAAGAAGAGTCGACCATAACTCCTCCACAACCATGTGAGAAACCGATGAAGCCCAAAAGAAAACCTCTGCTTATTTCTTTAGGGGTGGTTCTACTAGCTGTTAAAGGTTGAATATGGAACACTGACACTGGCGAATAATCTGGCGAACTCTGGTGTTCAGAGGTGGTATTGCAACAACAAGACTAAATTTCCAGCCGCTGGGATGTTGGTTCACTGTTGACACATTCCAGCACCATGTTCAGAGACAATCGTACAGGATAACGACTAATTTCTACTAATGTGTTTATTTTGCAACAGTATTTACTGTCAGAACATCTTCTGGGCTCCGAATCAGTTGCTTGACTTGTCAAGTCTGCCATTTTACACATTCCCCACCTTGCCTTGCTGAGTGAACTTTTTCAGCACAATGGTGCCCTCTAGTGGCTGGTAGATGTAAACAAAAACACAGTGTCATGCCCGACAGACAAAAAATTTCAATATTTATCTTTTTAAATATAGCTTTTAAGGGAGAAACTGTACATTCATTCTGCTCACCTCTGAATGCCCATTGGAGGTACTTTTTATTTAAAAGTTCCATATTCTAACTTTAAATCCTATAGTGGACTCTGTTTTTCACACACAGGTTTTTGTTTTTATTTATGAAACAATGGTACTATGTCTGTGTACACTCAAGTTTCAATTCAAATCATTTTCAACCTGGCAAAGACCTGATCCATGGGGATTGACTTTCATTTTCCCATGACAATATGTAGTACTCCTGTTAAAAAGAAACTTCACAGATGCTATCTAACTAATTTTCCTGCCAATCAGAATAATGCAAATGTTTAAGCTAGTCTATAAACCAACTGTCTCCTGATGATGGAGTCCAAGCTGGAAAAATATTTCAAACGTATCTAATAGAAGCAAAAATGTATCTAGGAGTTTCAGTTTATTTCTGAATAAATTGTAACATGAAAATGTGTCCTTGTTAAAGATTAAAAACAGAGTAGGGGTGATGAGGTATGTGGTGCTGCACGGCTGCCTCTGGGATGACCTGTACATCGGCTTTCAGAACCGCATCAGCCGAGATCCAGATGTCTACCATCACAAGTACGAACACATTCATAGAGAATATCACTGAATGTCAGTATTAAATCTGCATCGTTACCTCAGCTTGTCCTGTTGTTTTTAAACATATTTTAACTTCATCTGTGCACCCCCAGGTTCTGGAACCACTTCCAGACACAGCTACCACTTCACTGTCCAGACTGGGACCAGTTTCTGCAGCAGGTGGAGCCCATCCAGGGGAAAAATGACACACATGATGAAGAGGGGATACTAAGCAACTGTGTACTGTCTTAGAGTTGCAAGTTTAGGCTTATGAAGGCTAACTTACCTGTTTCCAGTTTTGTTTTTTGTACACAAACCAGTTTAGTTTTCATTCACTCCAGACTTGTTTCAAAATCTTATGGTATCATGGATAATGGGTAAAAAATGATATTAACATTACTGAATTAATGTTTTGACTGTTAGACATCTGGTGTCTGTTTAAACGTAGCTCCATCCATTTATTTTACTCTGCTAACAGACAGGCTTTTGCGGGTCCTACAGAGAGGAGGTTTTGGGAGATTTGACCTTGCCTTGGTACCGGTCCTGGTGCAGGTCCTCTTATCAGTAAAACTCCCTTGAGAAAGTCCACACTGCTTTGTTGATTTAGAAATGCACCTGGTGTGTCTTTTATGGCGTCCTGCCTGAGAGTCTAAAATGTGTGTGCGTAATCTTTTGTGTGTGTGCTTAATAAAAGCTTGTAGCGTCACGAAGGTCCTCTAATTTGTGACAAAGGTCACATTTTCCCAGCTGGGTCGACTGTAACTTTGCTCCGTAGATTAAACAAGCGAGGAGCTATGATGGCTGCTGAATATCATCCTTATCTGCTGCTGTTCCGTCCCAGAATGAAGGACACTTCAAGATCACAATAATAATTATTTAATAACAATTTTAATAAACTCTTTGACTTTATTACTGTTTATAATCATCATAATTAATATCTTGGTTCAGTATAAATGTATTTTATTTACTGAAATGAATTATTATGCTTTGGGTATAATAATGATTATTGTGATAATCAGTAATGTGTGTTCAGTAAACCAGAAGGTCATTTGCACGTAACCAGCCTCACACAGAGGGTACCGCAGGGTAAAAGTAATCTGCCATCACATGTCTTTGACTCATGACCAAAGCTTTCTTGCTCTGAGTGGGCGTGTTCTGAGGGGTTTGTTAAAACTAAATTTCCAGCAGCAAAACTTCAGTTCGTGAACCAACCACCATCCTGAGGATAAGGGAACGGCCGCCCTGAACCTCGACATGCTGTTCTGTCACGCTGATAGAATAGCTTTGAATAAACGCACGATAACCAGCTGACGTAAAACTCCTTCAGAGTTACTGATTTTGAGTTAAGTAAGACGCAAACTCCTTCAGAGTTAAGCCAAACGCTCAACACTGTGTACCCTGCGACATCTCTGGACCAGAGGATCATTTATACTCGCGTCTTCTCTACTGGACTGAGTACCCTGAGGCTGACAACATCTTCCTGGACCTCCGGATCCACACAGAGGGTCGTCTTGCTGGGTGAGGTGGCACACAGATTGTGTTTGATGCTGTTTCTCTAAGTAACAACTGAGTTAGCTGCAAAACAAGCATTCACCCAGAACGAGTTCCTCTCTCTGACAGAAACCTTCTGAGAATCCATTCACGCATCCAAACTCTCATTTCATTTTAGCTTTCCATCCAGACACAGGTAAAGCTTTTGTTACCAAGTTTAATATCAAAGCTGGTAAATTGTCATCCATGGATTGTCATATTTAATCGTCATTTAAATTGTCAGTTCTGAATTGTCGTTCCAAATTGTCAAGTTTAAAATTGTTAGTAATAAATTCTTAACTTTAAAAACTTGACTCTCATTTTTGAAATGAAACACAGAAAGGTATAAATATTTCTGGTTATTGTTATGGGCTTTGAGTAATTGTTTTCTCTGTTACCGGGGACTTCACACAACTTCGGGTCCTTGGAGGAGAAGAGGAGAGCAGAGAGGAGAGTGGGGGCGTGAGCTCCTGCTGCAACGAGGTGCAGGGTTGCCGGGACAACGGGGGAGGATCCCCACAACAAGGACAGACAGCGGAAATATCGAGGGGAGGAATCTCCAGGACGCGGATCAGGGATCACACCTGCAGCAAATGAACTGATTGCTCGCCTCACCTCTTCAAACAGGATTTAAGCAGTTCATGGACGCTCCGACGGGGAGCGACTCTTTAACCTTGAGCTCGTCTCCGCAGCTGCTTCATTGTGCACATTCACTAAGTGTGATAAGTAATAAAAAGAGATTATAACTCTCAAGTATTTTGTTGTTTACGTCATTCTATTGGTCCTAGAAGACGTTCAGACAGACGTGTGTGCACTTAAGAAAGTCAAAAGAAGCTGCTGCTCTTCTGTACTCAAGTTGTGGTACATTTGTATTTGTTTTGGGACATTAGAACCACACCCCCCCTCCCCCCCCCCCCCCCCTTTCCGTTGTGAAGCTATAACATGGGGGCTCGTCCGAGTTGTTGTGGTTTTATTACTCAGAATAGTGGGTAGGATTTCGGCCCGGGAGGGGGGCATAAGTTTGGGGTATTTGGTATAGTAACCTTTTGTCATTTCTGTCATTTGTCATTGCGAGGCGATGTCTACATTTATTTTGAAAGATTTTCTTGCTGCACCTTCACGTAGACAACTGGAAAAGTGTCGCAAGAGCGATTTACTGGAAGTAGCTGCCTACTTTGGTCTTGCCGGCTCACAGCACATGCTGAAGACTGATCTCAGGGCCGAGATTATCTCCTTCATGGAAAATAAAAAACTTCTCTCCCCTTTGGCTGATATTGCTATTTTGCCTTCACAGCAGGATATGGACAATGCGGAAGGTGAAGAGGCGAGGAGCGCATCTGAGGGTGGTGATTCCGAGGATGGAGCGGAGATCATGAGGACTCCAGAGCGGGGTAAGGTCGCCAAGTCTCCCCCAGTGACTCTTCCTCGTTACGATCCAGAGTCTCCGGAACCGCGGCCTGGTTCGGGACCGGTGTCACCTGATCACGCCCGGCTACATGTGCGACTCGCACGCCTGAAATATGAGGCCGAGGACAAACAGCGAAGGCGGGAGTTCGAGCTTCGCAAACTGGAACTCGAACTGGAAGCTGACACGAGACTAAGGCCGGGGACACACTGGCCGCGGAAGCGCCGCGAAGCGCCGCGAAAATGGGACCGCCTTCATTCGGCGCCCTTGTTAAGCTATTCTATATGTAGCAGTACGAAATACCTGCTCCAAGTTTATTGGTTTAGAACAGTACGCCCTCCATACGTAGGAGGGCGCTCCGGCTATAAAAGGGGAGCTCCTCCGGTAAGGAAGTAATTTCAGGAAACGGCTGGTGTTACGGCCGCTGCCGTTTTGAAGCCCAGAGGTGTGCTCCGCGCCGTTCCCTGTGCAGCAGCGCAGCACCACGGACAGCTACGCTCTGGGATGTTGTCCTTACTCCAGCACCATGGAGAGCGCCGGAGCGGCAGGCACAAGCAGCTGGGACTTTTTATCTCATCAGCCGGCCCTTCAAAAGCGGCCAGCTGGAGCTCATCAGGGGAGAGAAATGTTTGGAGTTGCAGAGGCAACGTTTGTTCTCTCCCCGTTGGCAGTTAACAGGTTGTTGTTGGCTTTTTGTAAAGAAGCAGCTTTAGAACCTTTTGTGTTTTGGGATAGTTGCATTTAAGCGGTAATTTTGGTTTTGGTGTGTCTGCTAGACCATCTTGTGGTTTAAATTACCAGGTGGGGATTATTCCCCTTTTGAAGTCTCAGTTTCCTGAGCTATTTTTGTTGTTTGGGTAACCTAAGTTAATTCAGCATTTGGTTTTGTCTGTTAGACAAACCTTGGTTAATTTAAGGGTGGGATTTTCCCCTTTTGCTGTTTCATTCCCTTTTTAAATAAAGGAGATTAATTTTAAGAGTGGTTGGTCCTCTGGACATTTTTAGTTATTCGTTTAAACTCAGTTTGGTAAGGGTTTTTGGCCCTTCTTTTGGTACTTTCTTTTTGTAATAAAATCCTTGAAAGGAAACTTTGAGTTTGGTCTTGCTTGGACAAGCCTTTTTCTCCCCAACGAGGGTCACTTTTTGTTAGACTGGTCCATCTTATGTTTATTCCCCTCACCTTCCTAGCTGAGCCCATATGGGGTGTAACATAAATGGGGGCTCGTCCGGGATTTCACTGATTTATAGCTGTTTTATTACACGTTTATAGCCTGTTTTAGATCAGTTAAGCCCGTGCCAAACGTTTGGACTAGTTTTAACATTTGCTCTTTGTTGGTTTTGTGAAGACACAAAACCCACGCTGTTTTGTGTTGTGTCATTTTGTTTTGTGCTTAAACATGGCTCAGTTTTGTGTGGAGACATTTATGGAGGCTCCATCCCGTGAGGTGCTGGAGCGTTGCCGCAAGGCTGACCTTCTGCAGATAGCTGTCAACCTTGCTCTTGACATCCCAAACCCTGTGCTGAAAAAAGACTTGAAATTGCTCATTGTGGAGCATTTGGAGGACATTGGGATTTTAAAGACTGAGAATGAGTCTGGTGCAAAGACGGAACCAGAAGGATCTCCTGCAGATCCTGATGAATGTGACGATCCTGAAGTCCCTGCTGCTGCGGAGGATCATGAGGGTGAGACGATGGAGACAGGAAAAACTCCTCTAACCGTACGAAAGTCTGTTCCGACCTCCCCAGGTTCGCCGACGGAAGGATCTCGAGACGCACGACTGCAGGTGCGGCTGGCACGTCTGGACATGGAAAGAGAGGAGAGAGCCCAGGCAAAAAGACTCCAGATGGAACTGGAGGTTCGGAGGATGGAGATTGAAGCTGACACAGCTGTGAGAATAAGGAAATTGGAACTGGAAGCCCAGCTTTCCAACCCTGGACTTCATATCACGCCCACCAAAGCTCCGCAACCCGCCACAACCCCGGCCTTTGACATTAGTAAGTGCATTTCCTTAATGCCTACATTTAGAGAGACCGAGGTTGACAGCTATTTTGTAGCTTTTGAGAGAATTGCGGAGACGTTGCAGTGGCCGCGCGGGGTGTGGTCTCTGCTGCTCCAGTGCAAGCTGAGCGGCAGAGCTTTAGAAGTTCTGTCTGCGCTCCCTGTCACAGATAGTCTGGACTATGACCGAGTGAAAGCTGTTATACTTCAAGCGTATGAGTTAATCCCAGAAGCTTATCGTCAAAAATTCAGACAAGCTAAGAAAAGTGCTGGACAAACACATGTGGAATTTGCACGTGAAATAAGCATGCTGTTTGATAAATGGTGTTCGTCCACAAAAATTAAAACTTTGAGTAACCTCCGAGAGCTTATCCTTTTGGAGGATTTTAAACGTAAGCTGCCTGAGAGACTGGTAACCTACTTAAACGAACAAAAAGTCAGCACTTTATCAGCTGCGTCCCTTTTAGCGGACGAATTCACACTCACTCACAGAGAGATTGTGAGGAGAGATGAGAGAAAAGACGTTCAGCCCGTTTTGATGAAGAAATCCATAAAAAGAAGCTCTCAAAACGGAAATCCTGAAACCCGTACCTGTTACTATTGTCACAGAACGGGACACGTTCTTAAGGATTGTTTTATGTTGCAGAAAAAGAACGGGAAGCCCACTGCAGCTCCTAAGGAAGTTGCATTCTTTAAAAAGTCGCCTGTGGTTAACCCCTTGTGCGCCGCCGGGGAGCCTGATGCTTGTTTTGCACCCTTTATTCTTTCGGGGGAGATCTCGTTGACTCCTGGTGATGCAGACAAGCAAAACGTTCGCATTTTGAGAGACACAGGTGCGTCTCAAACGTTAATACTGAGCAGCGCACTCCCATTTTCAGCCAGTAGTTCACGCGGGTACGCTGTTTTGTTACAGGGAATTGAAATGAAATCCCTGCCTGCCCAGGTGCACCGCGTTCACCTGGAATGCCAGCTCGTTAGCGGCTGCTTTGATGTTGCCATTTGTGACCATTTACCGGTAAACGGGGTTGATGTGTTGTTGGGGAATGATGTTGCTGGAGGTAAAGTGCTACCTCTTTTAGAAGTAGTTCCTCAACCTCAAGCCGAACATGTAAATTGTGCTGCTGATTCACATTTTTACCCAGCTTGTGCTGTCACCCGTTCGCAAACGCAGAATAATGCGGACATCCAGTTAAGTGACTCAGTGCTGATGAGACTCCTCAGTGATGACTCCGAACAGACAGCCCATGATGGACTTGGATTTGTTCCGTCATCAGACGCAGAAGAGCAGAGAGAAAAGGCTGATGCTGATCCTCAGCAAGGAGAACCTTTTCCACTTACGGCAGAAACTCTTTCTGCTGCACAGAAGAGTGATATTACTCTGAAACCTTATTTTGAACAGGTGACCATTTCAGATAAAACGGACAAAACTACAACACATTATTTATTAGATAATGATGTGCTGGTGCGTTGTTGGCCTCAGCCCGCGGCTGAGGGCATGGAATGGGGGTTGGTGAAACAAATAATTGTTCCATCCTCTTATAGAGAACATGTGGTCTCCTTGGCACACGAGAGTGACTGGTCTGGCCATTTGGGTGTCAACAAAACTTATAAACTGTTGTTGCAGCATTTCTTTTGGCCAGGGATGAAGAAAGAGGTGTCTCTCTTCTGTCGGCGTTGTCATGTCTGTCAGATGACAGGAAAGCCGAACCAGCCCATTCCTCCTGCCCCGTTACAGCCCATTCCTGTAGTGAGTACGCCTTTTGACCATGTCATCTTAGACTGTGTGGGACCTTTACCTCCTTCTAGAACAGGAAAGCGATTTTTGTTAACCCTTATGTGTTCAGCTACAAGGTTTCCGGAGGCCATACCGCTGAACTCCATCACCACCAGGTCTATAATCAGAGCTCTAACCCATTTCTTCTCCATCTTTGGGTTACCAAAGGTAATACAGACCGACCAAGGGACAAACTTCAAATCTAAACTGTTCAAACAGGTAACAAAAACCTTAGGAATCATACATGTCATGTCATCCGCGTATCATCCTCAGAGTCAAGGCACTTTGGAAAGATGGCACCAAACTTTAAAGGCAATGCTGACAAAGTATTGCTTAAGTAAAAGCAAAACGTGGGAAGAAGGATTGCCTTTTGTGTTGTTTGCTGCTCGTGAGGCTGTGCAGGATTCTCTTGGTTTTAGTCCTGCCCAGCTTGTGTTTGGACACACTCCTCGTGGTCCCCTGAAAGCTCTAAAAGAGAGATTTCTTTTTTCTGATCCGCCTGACAGAAAAGTGCGGGAGTATGTCCAACTCTTCCAGAAAAGATTAAAGGAAGCAAACTCTATTGCTAAAACTCACTTGGACAAAGCTAAACTGAAGATGAAGGTTCAGTAGGATAAGATGGCAACCAGACGTAACTTTGCAGTTGGAGACAAGGTACTGGTTCTAACTCCTTTGTCCAATTCGGCTCTCAGCACCAAATTTGAGGGACCATTTGAGATCCTGAGTAAGCTCGGGGACACAAATTATGTGCTACACACACCTGCCAGGAGACAGAAAAGCAGGGTTTGTCATGTTAACATGTTGAAGCGCTATGAGGATGGTTCCCCTCTGTCTAAACCTGTAACAACTTGTGTTTTAGTACCAGATGCTGCTAACAAACCTATGGTACCACAGGAAGCTGGTGAAGTCGGAGAAGACTTCCCCTCTAGTTGTAGTCCTCGGTTAAATAACTCCGAGGCACTTAAGGAACTGGAAGGACAGATAACACATTTGTCACCTGAAATGGCTGGAGACTTGGTGAAGTTAATTCACTCTAGGAAGAGTCTGTTTGTTGATGTGCCCACTCAGACCACTGTGTTAGCACATCATGTTGAGGTGAGTGAAGCCAAGCCCATTAGACAGCATCCGTACCGTGCTAGTCCCGAGAAAAGACTGATTATGAAAGAAGAAACGGAGTACTTATTGAAAAATGGCTTTGCTATTCCCAGCAGGAGCCCCTGGAGTTCACCCTGTCTGGTGGAGAGGAAACCAGATGGAACCGCTCGGTTTATAACCGATTACAGGAAGTTAAATGCGGTTACCATCTCAGACTCATATCCTCTACCCCGTATAGATGATTGCGTTGACAGTGTGGGACCTTCAAAGTTTGTGACTAAGTTGGACCTGTTAAAGGGATATTGGCAGGTACCTTTAACAGAAGAAGCTTCTCTTATGTCAGCTTTTGTTACCCCAGATGCCTTTTTACAGTACACTGTGTTACCCTTTGGCATGAAAAATGCACCTGCCACCTTCCAAAGGTTAATTAACACTGTTACTTCTGGCCTCTCACATTGTAGTGCTTACCTCGACGATATTGTTGTTTATACAGACACCTGGGAAGAACACCTCAACACTCTCACTCAGTTATTTGATCGTCTGGTGCAGGCCAACCTGACCCTGAACTTGGCCAAATGTGACTTTGTTAAGGCTACCGTCACTTACTTAGGTAAAGAAGTTGGGCAGGGGAAAGTAAAGGTCCTGCATGAAAAGGTGAAGGCTATGATGTCGTTTCCTCCTCCCTCTACTCGCCGAGAACTGAGACTGTTCCTGGGCATGGTTGGATACTATAGGGGGTTTTGTCGAAACTTTTCTGCCGTTGTTCTTCCTCTCACAGATCAGCTAAGTCCCAAAAGGAAGTTTGAATGGACTTCGGAGTGCCAAGCCTCTTTTGAGGCTGCCAAGCTGCTGCTGTGCTCTGCTCCTGTCCTGGCTGCACCCGATCTGACCAGGCCGTTCAAGCTGGAAGTTGATGCCAGCGCTATAGCCGCTGGAAGTGTGCTGATCCAGGAAGATTCAGCTGGTATTGCTCATCCGGTCTGTTATTTTTCTAAGAAGTTCAACCGACACCAACTGCACTATTCCACCATTGAAAAGGAAACGTTGGCTCTACTCCTTTCATTGCAGCATTTCCACGTTTACGTGGGTTCCAGTTGTTCTCCTACAATAGTGTATACAGACCATAACCCTTTGACTTTCCTCAGTAGGCTGTATAACCAGAACCAGCGGCTCATGCGGTGGGCGCTCATCCTACAGGAATATGCCATCGAGGTTCGACACAAGAAGGGGACTAACAACATCATTGCTGATGGGTTGTCCAGAAGTTTTGGTAACCTGTAGCGTCCAATAACCACTACATATCACAGATGCATACAATTTGTTTTAACTCCTCCTTCCAGGGCCCCTTGTAGGCACAAGGGCTTCACCCTCTTTAGGGTGCTGCCGTTTGTTGTTTTCTCTAGGGTTGCGGCAAGAGGCTAGTGTTGTCTGTGTCCTGCAGACATCTCGGGAGCACCCCAGGGTGATGGGGGACGGGCTTGCCAATGGGCCACCCCTCGTCGTCGCTGGTTTGTATGTGTACACCCACACATGTGCTTAATCTGCCCGCCTTAACCCGCATGAAGAGCAAGGGTTGAGTTAGAGAAGCTCCCCCATAGGTAGTTAGCGGGATGCCCTGGTTGTGTGTAAATGGAGGATACTGTTGAGTTTTAAATGTATCTTGCGTTTTAAGAAAAAAGATGGTGGTGTCTTGGGTATGGTTTTAGATTCTTTATCTCACCCCCTCCTTTTTTCTTTTAAGGGTGGGGATGTTACGGCCGCTGCCGTTTTGAAGCCCAGAGGTGTGCTCCGCGCCGTTCCCTGTGCAGCAGCGCAGCACCACGGACAGCTACGCTCTGGGATGTTGTCCTTACTCCAGCACCATGGAGAGCGCCGGAGCGGCAGGCACAAGCAGCTGGGACTTTTTATCTCATCAGCCGGCCCTTCAAAAGCGGCCAGCTGGAGCTCATCAGGGGAGAGAAATGTTTGGAGTTGCAGAGGCAACGTTTGTTCTCTCCCCGTTGGCAGTTAACAGGTTGTTGTTGGCTTTTTGTAAAGAAGCAGCTTTAGAACCTTTTGTGTTTTGGGATAGTTGCATTTAAGCGGTAATTTTGGTTTTGGTGTGTCTGCTAGACCATCTTGTGGTTTAAATTACCAGTTGGGGATTATTCCCCTTTTGAAGTCTCAGTTTCCTGAGCTATTTTTGTTGTTTGGGTAACCTAAGTTAATTCAGCATTTGGTTTTGTCTGTTAGACAAACCTTGGTTAATTTAAGGGTGGGATTTTCCCCTTTTGCTGTTTCATTCCCTTTTTAAATAAAGGAGATTAATTTTAAGAGTGGTTGGTCCTCTGGACATTTTTAGTTATTCGTTTAAACTCAGTTTGGTAAGGGTTTTTGGCCCTTCTTTTGGTACTTTCTTTTTGTAATAAAATCCTTGAAAGGAAACTTTGAGTTTGGTCTTGCTTGGACAAGCCTTTTTCTCCCCAACGAGGGTCACTTTTTGTTAGACTGGTCCATCTTATGTTTATTCCCCTCACCTTCCTAGCTGAGCCCATATGGGGTGTAACATAAATGGGGGCTCGTCCGGGATTTCACTGATTTATAGCTGTTTTATTACACGTTTATAGCCTGTTTTAGATCAGTTAAGCCCGTGCCAAACGTTTGGACTAGTTTTAACATTTGCTCTTTGTTGGTTTTGTGAAGACACAAAACCCACGCTGTTTTGTGTTGTGTCATTTTGTTTTGTGCTTAAACATGGCTCAGTTTTGTGTGGAGACATTTATGGAGGCTCCATCCCGTGAGGTGCTGGAGCGTTGCCGCAAGGCTGACCTTCTGCAGATAGCTGTCAACCTTGCTCTTGACATCCCAAACCCTGTGCTGAAAAAAGACTTGAAATTGCTCATTGTGGAGCATTTGGAGGACATTGGGATTTTAAAGACTGAGAATGAGTCTGGTGCAAAGACGGAACCAGAAGGATCTCCTGCAGATCCTGATGAATGTGACGATCCTGAAGTCCCTGCTGCTGCGGAGGATCATGAGGGTGAGACGATGGAGACAGGAAAAACTCCTCTAACCGTACGAAAGTCTGTTCCGACCTCCCCAGGTTCGCCGACGGAAGGATCTCGAGACGCACGACTGCAGGTGCGGCTGGCACGTCTGGACATGGAAAGAGAGGAGAGAGCCCAGGCAAAAAGACTCCAGATGGAACTGGAGGTTCGGAGGATGGAGATTGAAGCTGACACAGCTGTGAGAATAAGGAAATTGGAACTGGAAGCCCAGCTTTCCAACCCTGGACTTCATATCACGCCCACCAAAGCTCCGCAACCCGCCACAACCCCGGCCTTTGACATTAGTAAGTGCATTTCCTTAATGCCTACATTTAGAGAGACCGAGGTTGACAGCTATTTTGTAGCTTTTGAGAGAATTGCGGAGACGTTGCAGTGGCCGCGCGGGGTGTGGTCTCTGCTGCTCCAGTGCAAGCTGAGCGGCAGAGCTTTAGAAGTTCTGTCTGCGCTCCCTGTCACAGATAGTCTGGACTATGACCGAGTGAAAGCTGTTATACTTCAAGCGTATGAGTTAATCCCAGAAGCTTATCGTCAAAAATTCAGACAAGCTAAGAAAAGTGCTGGACAAACACATGTGGAATTTGCACGTGAAATAAGCATGCTGTTTGATAAATGGTGTTCGTCCACAAAAATTAAAACTTTGAGTAACCTCCGAGAGCTTATCCTTTTGGAGGATTTTAAACGTAAGCTGCCTGAGAGACTGGTAACCTACTTAAACGAACAAAAAGTCAGCACTTTATCAGCTGCGTCCCTTTTAGCGGACGAATTCACACTCACTCACAGAGAGATTGTGAGGAGAGATGAGAGAAAAGACGTTCAGCCCGTTTTGATGAAGAAATCCATAAAAAGAAGCTCTCAAAACGGAAATCCTGAAACCCGTACCTGTTACTATTGTCACAGAACGGGACACGTTCTTAAGGATTGTTTTATGTTGCAGAAAAAGAACGGGAAGCCCACTGCAGCTCCTAAGGAAGTTGCATTCTTTAAAAAGTCGCCTGTGGTTAACCCCTTGTGCGCCGCCGGGGAGCCTGATGCTTGTTTTGCACCCTTTATTCTTTCGGGGGAGATCTCGTTGACTCCTGGTGATGCAGACAAGCAAAATGTTCGCATTTTGAGAGACACAGGTGCGTCTCAAACGTTAATACTGAGCAGCGCACTCCCATTTTCAGCCAGTAGTTCACGCGGGTACGCTGTTTTGTTACAGGGAATTGAAATGAAATCCCTGCCTGCCCAGGTGCACCGCGTTCACCTGGAATGCCAGCTCGTTAGCGGCTGCTTTGATGTTGCCATTTGTGACCATTTACCGGTAAACGGGGTTGATGTGTTGTTGGGGAATGATGTTGCTGGAGGTAAAGTGCTACCTCTTTTAGAAGTAGTTCCTCAACCTCAAGCCGAACATGTAAATTGTGCTGCTGATTCACATTTTTACCCAGCTTGTGCTGTCACCCGTTCGCAAACGCAGAATAATGCGGACATCCAGTTAAGTGACTCAGTGCTGATGAGACTCCTCAGTGATGACTCCGAACAGACAGCCCATGATGGACTTGGATTTGTTCCGTCATCAGACGCAGAAGAGCAGAGAGAAAAGGCTGATGCTGATCCTCAGCAAGGAGAACCTTTTCCACTTACGGCAGAAACTCTTTCTGCTGCACAGAAGAGTGATATTACTCTGAAACCTTATTTTGAACAGGTGACCATTTCAGATAAAACGGACAAAACTACAACACATTATTTATTAGATAATGATGTGCTGGTGCGTTGTTGGCCTCAGCCCGCGGCTGAGGGCATGGAATGGGGGTTGGTGAAACAAATAATTGTTCCATCCTCTTATAGAGAACATGTGGTCTCCTTGGCACACGAGAGTGACTGGTCTGGCCATTTGGGTGTCAACAAAACTTATAAACTGTTGTTGCAGCATTTCTTTTGGCCAGGGATGAAGAAAGAGGTGTCTCTCTTCTGTCGGCGTTGTCATGTCTGTCAGATGACAGGAAAGCCGAACCAGCCCATTCCTCCTGCCCCGTTACAGCCCATTCCTGTAGTGAGTACGCCTTTTGACCATGTCATCTTAGACTGTGTGGGACCTTTACCTCCTTCTAGAACAGGAAAACGATTTTTGTTAACCCTTATGTGTTCAGCTACAAGGTTTCCGGAGGCCATACCGCTGAACTCCATCACCACCAGGTCTATAATCAGAGCTCTAACCCATTTCTTCTCCATCTTTGGGTTACCAAAGGTAATACAGACCGACCAAGGGACAAACTTCAAATCTAAACTGTTCAAACAGGTAACAAAAACCTTAGGAATCACACATGTCATGTCATCCGCGTATCATCCTCAGAGTCAAGGCACTTTGGAAAGATGGCACCAAACTTTAAAGGCAATGCTGACAAAGTATTGCTTAAGTAAAAGCAAAACGTGGGAAGAAGGATTGCCTTTTGTGTTGTTTGCTGCTCGTGAGGCTGTGCAGGATTCTCTTGGTTTTAGTCCTGCCCAGCTTGTGTTTGGACACACTCCTCGTGGTCCCCTGAAAGCTCTAAAAGAGAGATTTCTTTTTTCTGATCCGCCTGACAGAAAAGTGCGGGAGTATGTCCAACTCTTCCAGAAAAGATTAAAGGAAGCAAACTCTATTGCTAAAACTCACTTGGACAAAGCTAAACTGAAGATGAAGGTTCAGTAGGATAAGACGGCAACCAGACGTAACTTTGCAGTTGGAGACAAGGTACTGGTTCTAACTCCTTTGTCCAATTCGGCTCTCAGCACCAAATTTGAGGGACCATTTGAGATCCTGAGTAAGCTCGGGGACACAAATTATGTGCTACACACACCTGCCAGGAGACAGAAAAGCAGGGTTTGTCATGTTAACATGTTGAAGCGCTATGAGGATGGTTCCCCTCTGTCTAAACCTGTAACAACTTGTGTTTTAGTACCAGATGCTGCTAACAAACCTATGGTACCACAGGAAGCTGGTGAAGTCGGAGAAGACTTCCCCTCTAGTTGTAGTCCTCGGTTAAATAACTCCGAGGCACTTAAGGAACTGGAAGGACAGATAACACATTTGTCACCTGAAATGGCTGGAGACTTGGTGAAGTTAATTCACTCTAGGAAGAGTCTGTTTGTTGATGTGCCCACTCAGACCACTGTGTTAGCACATCATGTTGAGGTGAGTGAAGCCAAGCCCATTAGACAGCATCCGTACCGTGCTAGTCCCGAGAAAAGACTGATTATGAAAGAAGAAACGGAGTACTTATTGAAAAATGGCTTTGCTATTCCCAGCAGGAGCCCCTGGAGTTCACCCTGTCTGGTGGAGAGGAAACCAGATGGAACCGCTCGGTTTATAACCGATTACAGGAAGTTAAATGCGGTTACCATCTCAGACTCATATCCTCTACCCCGTATAGATGATTGCGTTGACAGTGTGGGACCTTCAAAGTTTGTGACTAAGTTGGACCTGTTAAAGGGATATTGGCAGGTACCTTTAACAGAAGAAGCTTCTCTTATGTCAGCTTTTGTTACCCCAGATGCCTTTTTACAGTACACTGTGTTACCCTTTGGCATGAAAAATGCACCTGCCACCTTCCAAAGGTTAATTAACACTGTTACTTCTGGCCTCTCACATTGTAGTGCTTACCTCGACGATATTGTTGTTTATACAGACACCTGGGAAGAACACCTCAACACTCTCACTCAGTTATTTGATCGTCTGGTGCAGGCCAACCTGACCCTGAACTTGGCCAAATGTGACTTTGTTAAGGCTACCGTCACTTACTTAGGTAAAGAAGTTGGGCAGGGGAAAGTAAAGGTCCTGCATGAAAAGGTGAAGGCTATGATGTCGTTTCCTCCTCCCTCTACTCGCCGAGAACTGAGACGGTTCCTGGGCATGGTTGGATACTATAGGGGGTTTTGTCGAAACTTTTCTGCCGTTGTTCTTCCTCTCACAGATCAGCTAAGTCCCAAAAGGAAGTTTGAATGGACTTCGGAGTGCCAAGCCTCTTTTGAGGCTGCCAAGCTGCTGCTGTGCTCTGCTCCTGTCCTGGCTGCACCCGATCTGACCAGGCCGTTCAAGCTGGAAGTTGATGCCAGCGCTATAGCCGCTGGAAGTGTGCTGATCCAGGAAGATTCAGCTGGTATTGCTCATCCGGTCTGTTATTTTTCTAAGAAGTTCAACCGACACCAACTGCACTATTCCACCATTGAAAAGGAAACGTTGGCTCTACTCCTTTCATTGCAGCATTTCCACGTTTACGTGGGTTCCAGTTGTTCTCCTACAATAGTGTATACAGACCATAACCCTTTGACTTTCCTCAGTAGGCTGTATAACCAGAACCAGCGGCTCATGCGGTGGGCGCTCATCCTACAGGAATATGCCATCGAGGTTCGACACAAGAAGGGGACTAACAACATCATTGCTGATGGGTTGTCCAGAAGTTTTGGTAACCTGTAGCGTCCAATAACCACTACATATCACAGATGCATACAATTTGTTTTAACTCCTCCTTCCAGGGCCCCTTGTAGGCACAAGGGCTTCACCCTCTTTAGGGTGCTGCCGTTTGTTGTTTTCTCTAGGGTTGCGGCAAGAGGCTAGTGTTGTCTGTGTCCTGCAGACATCTCGGGAGCACCCCAGGGTGATGGGGGACGGGCTTGCCAATGGGCCACCCCTCGTCGTCGCTGGTTTGTATGTGTACACCCACACATGTGCTTAATCTGCCCGCCTTAACCCGCATGAAGAGCAAGGGTTGAGTTAGAGAAGCTCCCCCATAGGTAGTTAGCGGGATGCCCTGGTTGTGTGTAAATGGAGGATACGGTTGAGTTTTAAATGTATCTTGCGTTTTAAGAAAAAAGATGGTGGTGTCTTGGGTATGGTTTTAGATTCTTTATCTCACCCCCTCCTTTTTTCTTTTAAGGGTGGGGATGTTACGGCCGCTGCCGTTTTGAAGCCCAGAGGTGTGCTCCGCGCCGTTCCCTGTGCAGCAGCGCAGCACCACGGACAGCTACGCTCTGGGATGTTGTCCTTACTCCAGCACCATGGAGAGCGCCGGAGCGGCAGGCACAAGCAGCTGGGACTTTTTATCTCATCAGCCGGCCCTTCAAAAGCGGCCAGCTGGAGCTCATCAGGGGAGAGAAATGTTTGGAGTTGCAGAGGCAACGTTTGTTCTCTCCCCGTTGGCAGTTAACAGGTTGTTGTTGGCTTTTTGTAAAGAAGCAGCTTTAGAACCTTTTGTGTTTTGGGATAGTTGCATTTAAGCGGTAATTTTGGTTTTGGTGTGTCTGCTAGACCATCTTGTGGTTTAAATTACCAGGTGGGGATTATTCCCCTTTTGAAGTCTCAGTTTCCTGAGCTATTTTTGTTGTTTGGGTAACCTAAGTTAATTCAGCATTTGGTTTTGTCTGTTAGACAAACCTTGGTTAATTTAAGGGTGGGATTTTCCCCTTTTGCTGTTTCATTCCCTTTTTAAATAAAGGAGATTAATTTTAAGAGTGGTTGGTCCTCTGGACATTTTTAGTTATTCGTTTAAACTCAGTTTGGTAAGGGTTTTTGGCCCTTCTTTTGGTACTTTCTTTTTGTAATAAAATCCTTGAAAGGAAACTTTGAGTTTGGTCTTGCTTGGACAAGCCTTTTTCTCCCCAACGAGGGTCACTTTTTGTTAGACTGGTCCATCTTATGTTTATTCCCCTCACCTTCCTAGCTGAGCCCATAGAGGGGTGTAACAGCTGGTTTTAAGTGTACCACTACGTGTTACCAACCCGTGTCCTTTGGCTGCGTTTTTGGGGTGATCGGCTCTGCTCCAACTGTGGTATGTACCTGGATGGCTACTCTGTTTAGCAGTAGAGTTACTGTGTCTCGTCTCAAACTGTGTTGTGCACTCGGCAGCTTGGGCAATTAATCAGTGTTGGGTGTGACATCATCGCTTGCCTTTGCTAAACAAAACATTAGCAAACGGTACGTACCTTCTGCAGGTAGATAACCTATGAGTCAAACAATCTTAACATCAGCTCTTTGTAAAACCAGGGAAAGATTGAATCCCCGTTGCTGCTGGGCAGGGAGTTCCCTTCTACTCAGGGGTCATCGGTGAGAGGATCGGTAGGTGTGTGCTGCGCCGTCTCCACACTTGGTCAGTTGTTAGTTTGTTAACTTCTACCTCTTCCTTGTCCTTTTAGATTTCTCCGTGGTCCAGCGTGAGGCGCCGCTGTTTTGTTTCGTTTCCTTTTTCTACATTTCAAATCAGCTGTTTGAAGGAAGTTCCCTGGCTCGTGGCCGGAGTCCAGAAGGAAGAACAGCTGATTTATATTGTACACATTTTATACCGTTTTTAATCTATTTTTTCTTTGTGCAGGCTGAGGCAGGAGGTGTGGTGTGTGGCGTCGGAGGTGGTGGTCCCGTGTGCGTGTGGTGGTGCTGGTTTTCTCACGTTGGTATGAATGTTCACTGCCATGAATCCTTTATACGTTCTTCATTATTTTTCTTGTGTTGGGGCTTCTCTGCCCCGCGTTACCTGCCTCCATCGCTAGCCTCAGTCCTGCTTGTTAACCTTTTTATTTATTTAAATTTGTAGTTGAATTGTGTTTAGTTAACTCTCATTTTTTTGGGACCTCATGAATCAATTTCAGTGAGTTAAATTAATTTGTTTCTTCATAGATTTCATTGGTTCAGTTTCTGTTGGGGCATTAATTTTAGTATTCTTTTATGGTATTTTACATGGCCAGTTTTTAAAATGTCTTTTAAACTGTCTCCTCTATAAAATAAAACAAATTTATTGTAACTTCTGAAACCACGTCTACTGTCAAGTGAAATGAATCTATATGCTTTAATTCCTTGGGTGAAATTCCCAAGGTGGCGTTGTTAATAAAATTACACTCGAGCAGGTACAATTGCCATCCTTGGCGTCAACAGGTCATAGACCACTCCCGTATTGCCACATATAGACCACATGGGCCGCCGAAGCGCCGCGAATCGCCTCGCGCCGGCGCGCGCCGGCGCTCCAGCCCGCGCCGTGCAGCGATCATTTCGGCGTTGGCTCTATTTTTTTCGCGAGCCGCAAGTGAATCGCGTCAATTCTGGCAGGAAGTCAAACGTAGACATAAGAGGCAGGCCGGTAAAGTTAACAAAATAAAGCATTTCAAAATAAAATTCCGCAATAGTCAAATGTGTTCGTAAACAGACACTGCAGAAAAACCACACGAACACGCACACACATACACACACATCGAACTTGTGTGCGTGTGTGAGCACGTGAAGGGGGGTGTGGTTTTGGGTGTCTTTTCACCGGAGCAAACAGATCAGAGGCAGAAAGTCTGAGGCAAGCAGTTAGGATGGATGACTTTAAATTAATTATGGAAGTTGAGAAACACAAGGAGCTGTACGACCCCCGAAAAACATGATTGTTTACGTACTCATGTCGGAAGAAACTGCTAGGATACAGCTGCAGAATTGGAGCGGGTTCCAAGTGATTCAACTGGCAGAAACAACTCATACCATAGGTTCACACACGCGCACGCGCGCGCACCTCGCACAAACACTCAAACGTAGGAAAAGAGCTGAGAAAAGGCAGAGGAAATGGAGGACACTAAGTGTTTAAAAGAAAAACTACAGCTGAGCCGAGGCGCGCCTCGACTGGGGCGCGTCTGATCTGAACTGAGGAGCGGCGAGCAGCGGCCGAATTTCGTGAGCGATTCGCTTCTCGGCGCTTCGCGGCGCTTCCGCGGCCGGTGTGTCCCCGGCGTAAAGATGAGACGAATGGAGCTGGAGATGCAGGCTGAGAGAACTGTCCATGGTGCTGATGCAGCATCTAGAGGCTCCCTGGCAGCGACTGAGAGACTGGATGTCGGGAAGTGCATGGGGCTGATGCCGCCGTTTCGCGAGGCCGAAGTGGATAGTTACTTCGCCGCATTTGAGCGTATCGCTACGACACTCAGTTGGCCGCGTGAAGTGTGGCCTCTTCTCCTTCAATGTAAGTTGTCTGGGAAAGCGCAGGAGGTAATGACTGCTCTATCTGTCTCTGACTGTGGGGATTATGATACTATTAAAGACGCAGTTGTACATGCCTATGAATTAGTACCTGAGGCTTATAGGCAGAAATTTAGATCTCTACGTAAACGTGATGAGGGGCAAACATTTGTTGAATTTGCGAGAGAGAAGGGTTTACTTTTTGATAAATGGCTGCAGTCCTCAAAAGTGACCAACCTGAACGAATTACGAGAGTTAGTTCTACTGGAGGAGTTTAAAAGATGTCTTCCTGAAAGAACGGTGTTGTATTTAAATGAGCAGAAAGTGAATAATCTGTTAGCTGCAGCACTTCTGGCCGACGAGTTCATGCTAACCCACCGTGTTAAAGTGGAGAAAGTAGTCAGGGACAGATCGCATGCTGTAAAACCTAGGCACTTTGAAAGAAACTCAGAAACAAGTCCACCAAGGTGTTTTTACTGTCACCAAGTGGGTCATATTGTCAAAGATTGTCTGATCTTGAAGAGGAGAGAGAGGAAAAATGACCGTGTGGTAGCATTTGTTGCATCAGATAAAACTCAGAAAAGGCCAGACATGCTTGACCCCTCATATGAACCATTTATTTTGGAGGGTTCTATAAGTATGGGAGAGGGGGAGAGCGTGCCAATAAAAATCCTCAGAGATACTGGAGCATCCCAAACATTGGTACTAGAGTCTGCGCTTCCCTCTGAGGCAACAGTCAATACAGAAACGTCTGTGTTGTTGAAGGGTTTGACGGGTGAAGTTATGTCATGTCCACTTTGTGAAGTGAAAATTGCAAGTAAACTTGTGTCAGGTGTTTTTAAAGTGGCTGTGTGTAAAACTTTACCTATTGCAGAGATTCATCTGCTGCTGGGAAATGACATAGCTGGAGGAGCTGTTGTTCCTGTGCCTCAGGTCATTGAACACCCAGAGAAAGTTGCCTGTGTGATGTCTCCACGAGGTATTGTTCCATCGTGTGTAGTGACCAGATCAGCTGTACGTCATGACGCAAATGAATTCCAAGGGCTTTCTGATCTGTTTCCTGACTCCAGTTGTACTTCAGACATGCACCAGCTACCAGATGTAGGCGTTACCGATAAAGATGTTGCAGAAGAGAATCTACCTTTTGAGTCCCAGGACCATTTGGTTTCACGTTCAACATTAATAGATGAAGAGAAAAGGGACAAAACATTAAAGAAGTGTTTTGATGCAGTACATTCATCTGTTAAATTCTCGACAACATTCTTTTTGGAAAACAATCTACTGATGAGGAGCTGGGAAATTCCAGTAGAGGGGAAAGCTCCCTGGGGAGTGGTACACCAGATTGTAATACCGGAGTGTTTTCGAAGACAGATAATCGCCTTAGCTCATGAAAGTAGATGGTCAGGACACTTGGGAGTGAAGAAAACTTATTTGTCTATCCTGGATCATTTTTTTTTTGGCCGGGGATGAAACGGGATATAGCAAAGTTTTGCAGAGCCTGCCACACGTGTCAGATGGTGGGAAAGCCAAATCAGCCCATTAAACCGATGCTGTTGTCACCCATTCCTGTAATAGGACAGCCTTTTGATCACGTCGTCGTAGATTGTGTGGGTCCGTTGCCACGCACAAAGTCTGGGAAAAAGTTTTTGTTGACCATAATGTGCAGTACCACCAGATTTCCAGAGGCAATACCATTGGCTACCATAACTACCAAGAGTGTGATCAGAGCTTTATCAAATTTCTTCTCGCTCTTTGGTCTACCACGGGTGATCCAAACAGATCAAGGGTCAAATTTCACGTCTGACCTCTTCAAACAGGTCACAAAAGTATTGGGGATCCAACATATTATGTCTGCCCCGTACCATCCTGAATCACAGGGAGTCTTGGAACGATGGCACCAAACATTTAAGTCGATGTTGAGGAAATACTGTTTTACAACATCTAAACAGTGGGATGAAGGTGTGCCTTTCTTGTTGTTTGCAGCTAGAGAAGCTACGCAGGAGTCGCTGGGATACAGCCCAGCGCAACTGGTTTTTGGGCACACTCCTAGGGGACCGTTACAGGCTTTAAAGGAGCGGTTTCTGCAGTCACCAGGTTCACTCAAAATGAACGTAAACGAATACGTGAAATGTTTTAGGAGTCGCTTAAGAGTTGCAAACCAAATAGCACGAGAGCATTTGAAAAACGCGCAGAAGGTGATGAAAAGCCACTTCGATCAAAAGGCTAAACTGCGCGATTACTTGCCAGGAGAGAAAGTGTTAATGTTAAGTCCTAGTGTTGGTGACACATTGAGTACACGTTTTGAGGGTCCATTTGAAATCAGCCACAAAATCAATGAAAACACTTATGCGGTTAAAACATCACACCGTCGGAAAGCTGTAAAAATCTGTCATGGGAATCTATTAAAATCTTATGTTCCCCAGGTCTCAGCGGATCAGATGCAGGATGGAGCACCAGTGTGCGCAGCTGGTCTCATCGCCACGTCCGATCCACAGGAGGAAGTAGTGATTCGAGCTTTACATGCAGTAAGTCCGCGCTTGAAAAATTCTGAAGTGTTGTTAAATTTGGATGAGAAATTAACACATTTAACAGAACAGCAACGTGAAGATGTGACTGTGCTAATTAATGCACATCTTAGCTTGCTTTCAGATGTCCCTACGATTACGAACGTGTGTCACCATGACGTGATTCTGACCAATCTTCAACCTATAAATCAGCACCCCTACAGGGCAAGTCCAGAAAAACGCCGTCTAATGAAACAGGAAACGGATTACCTGATTCAAAATGGTCTAGCGGTAGCAAGCTGTAGTCCATGGGGGTCTCCTTGTTTTGTAGAGGAGAAGCCTGATGGGTCAACCAGGTTCATCACAGATTATAGAAAAGTTAATGCCGTCACTGAGCCGGATTCGTACCCATTACCGCGTGTTGATGACTGCGTGGATAGCATAGGTATGTCTACGTATATATCAAAAGTGGACTTGTTAAAAGGTTACTGGCAAGTGCCTCTTACTGAGAATGCGTCGAAAATCTCTGCTTTTGTTACTCCAGATGCGTTTCTGCAGTACAAAGTCATGCCCTTCGGGATGAGGAATGCCCCTGCTACATTCCAGCGTCTTATAAATACTGTCATAGCTGGCTTAGAGAATTGCAGTGCATATTTGGATGGCATAGTCATACACACAATGTCATGGCAAGAACATCTACACACTTTGAATGAGTTGTTTAAGCGCTTGGTAAGGGCAAATCTAACTATTAACCTTGCGAAATGTGAGTTTGTTAAGGCCACAGTCACATACCTGGGGAAGGAAGTGGGACACGGATTTGTTCGTATGCTTAAAGATAATGTGCTGTCAGTTTCAGCCTTTCCGGTGCCCAGGA